TAGGCACTGAGGCTGGTCCTGGACAGTCCACTTACTTGGCGTGTACCTGAGTGGTACCACGCTGATGGCACCCAACAGAACCTAACCCCTAGGGGCCACAAGATCTCCCTGGGAAGCCAGGCACACAAAAAAGAATGTATGGACAAGTTGATGATACAAGTTTAAAAGAGGAAGAAAGTAAGCATTTATGAAGTGTTCTGTGTGTTATCTGCTGGTCCTAATAGTATCTCAGATAATCCTCAAACTAGTTTTTATTCAATGTATGGATGGAATGCCCTCTCGAAATCACTGTCTGTTCAAGCACAATATAGCATAATAACTAAAAGGTTTGGATCAGGACTCAGACGGCTTGAATTTGTATCTAAGTACTGCCAATAACTTTCTGTATGACTGGGAAAATTGCTCAGATGTTCTGTGTCTCAGTTATAAAATTGAAATTCTAAGAATAGTACCCAAAAAAAAAGGAATTAGTTTATGCAACTGTGGGGCTGGTTAGGCAAGCCTGACATCTGGGAGGCAGGCCATCAGGAAAAGCGTGCTGGAACTCCGGGCACCGCTAAGCCCACAGGTGGGATTTCTGACTCAGGGAAGTTTCAGCTCTGTTCTTAAGATGCTTCGACGAATTAAATCAGACCCGCCCAAACTATCCAAAACAATCTCCTTTACTTAAAGTCAACTGATATGAAAACAAAAGAAACAATAAAGTCAACTGAGACGGGTTTTAATCACAGCTTTAAAATACCTGCATGACAACACCTACGTTACTGTTTGATTGAATAAAGGGGACTATAGAGCCTACCTAAATTGGCACATAAAACGCCATAGCACCCAAGTAGTAGGTAAGGACAGTATCATCACTTGTGTTCTAGAAGCACAGGGCACTTAAATCTTTTGCCTAAGGCACACAGCTAACGCACGTTTTGTTTTTCAATTATAAAAAGGTTAGAAATCCTTACCTCATTATTGTTTCAAGAAGGAAATTAAATCAAATCAGTTCCAACTGTGTATGTGAAGTTCCTGGCACACTGGGTTCTCCATGTTAGAAAACAGCGATTAGAGCACATTTTGCTTATAAAAAGAGCTGGCTTACAGGTTAGCTGGAAAGGAACATTCTCCCTACAGGTGGGAGCACAAGCTGGAATAACTTTTTTCAGCAAGTAGTTCCAGTTCCAAGAATTAGTTTTATAATGTTTGTACACACCTGTAAAGATAGGTATGCAAAGATATTCATTTTGCAATCTTATTTATAAATAAAAAACAAAACAACAACAACACTAAACTTCAATGGCCCTGGCTGGGTAGTTCAATTGGATAGAGCATTTTCCCAACACACCAAGGTTTCTGATTCAATCCAGGTCAAGGTACATACAAGAAGCAACCAATGAATGCATAACTAAGTCGAACAACAAATAGATGTTTCTCTCTTTCTCCCCCTTCCTCTCTCTCTAAAATCAATCAATAAAACAAAACAAAACACTTAAGTGACTATCAAGAGAAAAGGAAAGTGTTAAATAAATTACGATATGGTCTGAAAATCAATCAATAAAACAAAACAAAACACTTAAGTGACTATCAAGAGAAAAGGAGAGTGTTAAATAAATTATGAATAGATCTGTTGACATAAGAATGTCCAAACACATATAAAATGTTAGTATTTGAACCAAACTGAGGACATGTCTGGAAGCAAGATCTCAACAGTCTGAGAATAGCAGTTTTTCAGTTCTTTTTATGCATTTGGAATCAAAGGCGGGAACATAAGGAAGATTGCATGAAATCCATTGGTAGGTTAGGGAGGCGGGAGGAAGCAAAGAGGAAATCCCTATGATTAGATAAAAAGTAAAATGAAGAGATACAGATCTCAGTTACATTGGTGGGTACAAGACAGTTAGCATTGACAGTAAATGAGATGGTATTCGTGTAACAAGATCATGTGCTCCTTGAGAGTGGCTTCTGAAGGGTCTAAAACAGTGGTTCTCAACCTTCCTAATGCCGCGACCCTTTAATACAGTTCCTCATGTTGTGCTGACCCCCAATTTCATTGTTACAAATTGAACATAATTAAAGCATAGTGATTAATCACAAAAACAATATGTAATTATGTATGTGTTTTCCGATGGTCTTAGGCGACCCCTGTGAAAGGGTCGTTTGACCCCCAAAGGGGTCGCGACCCACAGGTTGAGAACCACTGGTCTAAAAGATAATATTATTCTGGCATTTCCAAGATATGTTAACCTAGGTGTACAAGAACAATGGACAGGGCCTGCTTAAAGCAACAATGAACCTTTTACTAAGGAAGTTATAGGCCTGAGGCCTGACTGCTCACCATGACCTGCTCAGTTAAGAATTTACGATCAGCCCTGGCCGGTGTGGCTCAGTTGGTTGGGTGTTGACCTGGGCCCAACTCATGTCAATGTTTCTCTCTTTCTCTCTCCCTTCCTCTCTCTCTAAAAATCAATTTATAAAAATATTAAAAAAAAAAGAATTCATGAGCACAACACCCTGTGCGGTCACTTTTGGTCACTGAATATGTCTGATTTACTACATAGTCCCTTTGCTCACAGGCTGAACAATGGAATGAAAGATGTCCATAGTGTAGTATTTCATCTAAAATAGGAGTTTGTATTATTTGATAGCATTTTTTATCCTAGACATTTTGCTAATATCTTTGGTGCTGGAAGGTGATCAGTTCTGTGCCCATTATGATTTTATAGAAAGAGGAAGATGGGAGAGAGAGAGGGAGAGAAACATCAATTTGTTGTTCCACTTACTTATGCATTCATTGGTTTCTTGTTTGTGCTCTGACTGGGGACCAAACCTGTAACCTTGGCATATTGGGATGACGCTGTAACCAACTGATACCTGGCCAGCGCTCATTTAATTTTTAACATAACCCTATGAGTGCATTGATATTATCCACATTTTATAATAGACGGTAGATGAAACCAAGTCTTGGAGAGAGTAAGACGTTGCTCAAAGCTTATGCCTACCAAAGATGAAACTGAAGTTATCTATATTCCAAAGCCAGTGCAATTGGGTAGTAAATTGGGTCAAGAGGTACTAAAAATTATGCTTTTATTGGTTTGTCATTTTTCCACTGACTGTTTTAATGCTGACATGACTATAATGTAGAAAGGTTTCAAAATAGAAGCTTCAGGATATTCTGTAATTTGGGCTGTCAAAGTTTAGTATTTCCAGCAAAACACTCTTATTTATCAACCTTCTCCTCCACCTTCAATCAAAATAATAAACAGAAAGAAGAGAAAGCATAAATGGTTTTTCATTGCTTCTGCAACCCAAAAGAAAAACCAAAAAGTTAAAACAGGAAAGTTCAGGAAAAATCCCCAATTTGCTACCCTTTCATCAAAGCAATAGAATTATTCATGTCCAAATGACAACGCCCCAATGTGCTTACAAAAAGGTTTGGTTGCCTGTTGGGTGCAATGCCTAGGTCTTCGGGGTGTTCATCAGGGGGAAATGCCACAGTATTATCTAGTATTCTTGGAAATTACTAGGTTAAATACATCATTAAGATGACTTCTGCCTCCATGCTCATTTTTAGCATTTTTTTTTCATGCACCACAAATTATTTCTCTTTCTCCACAATGTGCAGCTAGATTTCTTCCAGGAGAGGGGTGGCAGGAAAAGGCCTCACTTCAGAGGATCAGGTAGGCAACCAGAGCTACTTGGCTGACCACCCCCAGATGTCTCCCACAAGGACCTCTTGCACTGCTCTGCTGGACTCCCTGGGAGTTTTAGAATCCACCAGGACCCTGAGGATGGGATGATGACTGTAGGAGCAGCGGTTCTCAACCTGTGGGTCGCGACCCCTGAAAATACATCCTGCATATCAGGTATTTACATTACAATTCATAACAGTAGCAAAATTACAGTTATGAAGTAGCAACGAAAATAATTTATCGTTGGGGGTCTCCACAACATGAGGAACTGTATTAGGAAGGTTGAGAACCACTGCTGGGGATCCTTGCTGGCTAGTTCCTGGTTTTAGGAACTCGCTAAGGAATAAGGTAGTTCTACACTCTCTGTGGCATTTCTAAGATCCCCAAGGGCAATGAAGACAGAATACGATTTCTGTGTCCCGGAAGCAGGTTTTCCTCAAACCCACCGGAAACCCACTGAGTTCTGGCCAAAGACCAAGGTCCCCAGAGAGTTGGGGCCAAATTGGAAGCAAGTCCTCCCTTAGACCAATAATTGTCATTCCGTGGTGGTATTTTCTGTGTGTCTATCACAAGGGAACCCCAACACTAGGAAAAAAAGTCTCTGTCCTCGAGAAGATTTCACTGGGGAGACGAGATATGTGACTTAGTTTTGCTTTCCTCTTGGTGAAACTAAAACACTTCTTGTATCATTCAAATTACCACTAGTTCCATTTCCCTCTTGAACTCGGAGAAAAGATTCTTGTACCAGTCCCCAAATTTTCTCAATCAAGTCCCACTCACTTTCCAGAGTCATGCAACCATCACTGGACACTATCACTGCTTGTTACATTTCACATGGATCCCATGGAGATTTAGCAACTGGGAAAGTATGTGTGAGGGGCAGCAAGCTGTGCAGAGGGGTGGATGGACTTAGAAGACTCACATGCCATATCCATAGTACAGACCAGTGATGGCGAACCTTTTGAGCTCGGCATGCCAGCATTTTGAAAAACCCTAACTTAACTCTGGTGACATGTCACATATAGAAATTTTTTGATATTTGCAACCATAGTAAAACAAAGACTTATATTTTTGATATTTATTTTGTATATTTAAATGCCATTTAACAAAGAAAAATCAACCAAAAAAATGAGTTTGCGTGTCACCTCTGACACACGTGTCATAGGTTCGCCATCACTGGTATAGACACTAATTAGCCTTGGAATGACACTGTGTGTGATCCTTGCTCCCTGGACTACGGACCTGGGATGCTGGACAAGGAAACATTGAGTCAGAACAACCAGACTACAAGCCTTACTAATTCAACATGTGGTTGGGCCATGAGACTGGGGAGATTCTACCATTTGCCTGATTTCTCCTCATAGAGTGGAGACCACCATCTGCGCACAGGATGCTGGTACTAATGAAGTCATTTAAAGGAAGTATTTGTTGCTTCCTTGGATGGGAACCGTGTTCTCTACTGAGCTCTCACATGCTATTTCATCTGGCCACGTGAGCAGTGATCTGAAGAAAGATCAGATTCCTAATTCAGAGGGTGGGTTAGTTCTCAGAGTGGGAGCTGGATTCCTCAGTGGGCCTTATGGACTTGAGAATAAAGTTTAGGTGTGCTTGACCCAGAGCTACAGGTCTGCTTTGAGGACAATAAAACCCAGATCAGAAGGCAGCAAGCACTGGGGGTTAAAGGGACACGGGGGGGCATAAGAAAGCAAAAACACATAAACACCAGAACGGAGTCAGTGACTCAGCAAAATTTTCAAACCTTCTATTGAAAACATTTCCCTGTTTTTGGCTTTTGGGAAATCATATAGGAATCGAGAGAGCTTGACTATATGGTTCTATATCCTTTTTGTGGACTTAAATTTTTAAAAAGTATGTTTAATGTATGTCTTTAGAATTGGTCAATGAACGAACCTCACTTTGTTCATACCTGAGTTTCTCAAAACCATGAGTCATTGAAGCCTGGTTATCAGAGGTAGGCTTAAACATGTGACAATGATTGATCATAGATAGGGAAGCTGCAGAGTTTTTGTCTCAGAAATAATCAAGCAAGGAAACACCCAGGAGGCACAGGGCAAACCGCCGTCCTGGAAGCTGGTGGGGTGGGAAGATGCGGAGGCCCAGTCCGTGTGGGCAGCAGCGTGCCTTCTGTGTGGCTCACCTGTCTTTTCCTCCTTTTGGCATGACACCAGATAAGCTGGCATCGAAGGCAAGAGCCTGGCCCTGGGAGCTTTGGTGCTTTATCTCAGGATGATCTCAGCGCTTCCACTGGCTTCTCCTGGTGCCTTCTGGCACCCGGAGTCGAGTGTGCAATGTAGGTGATGGGGCTCCTGGTAAGAAAATGAAGGCAGATTTCCTCAGGCTCAGCTTCCTTGCTAAGCCCTGTTGGCCTGAAGCACATCTACGTTACTCCTTCACTGGAGAGAGGAACCGGACTCCCCCCTTGATTTTGTACACCCCACAGCTGGGACCATCTCATCTGTAAAATGGGCATACAATGTGATAGGGGAAGGGCACGTAATAAGAATAGGAACACAGTTGTTTAATGACGATTCACCCTACTCACTATAGATGAGAGGTTTTCTGACAGACCCTGGGAAAGGGGAGGATGTGCTATAAAAGGAAATGCATTTTAAAAGCAGATCAAGGACAGGACTCACTTGGATTTGGCTGGTGTGCCTGAACTCTCACCCCATCCGGGAGTTTTTCTCAGGAATGCTGACTATTCTCGGGTTCCAGGAACAGGCAGAGCTGTTTGTAACATCATAGAAGATTAGTCAACTTGTTATCGGACTTTTAACTCCTGAAGGCCGGACTGCAGACCCTCCCCTCCCCTTCCGCTGTTACATTCGTAGTTCACAGCTGCATCTAGTTATCGTCTTCCTTGCCCGTATGTATCCGCCAACGGGCGAGGGGAATAACAGATTTTCTGACTGCTCTCTCAACCTGCCGGCATTATTAGAATAAATGCTCAAATATGATTCAACGCTGTGTCTGCTTAATTTGGCTCAAGTAGTGACAGGCTGCCTTGAGCGAGTTATGTCTGGTATCAACAGCACTCATCTCCTAGGGCTGTGGTTCTCAAAGTGGGTCCCCTGACCAGCAGCAGCATGCATTGACAGGAACTTGTTAGAAAAGCCAATCCAGAAACCCCTCCCAGACCCACTGGAACCGCAACTCGGGAAATGGGAGTCTGAGATCTGTTCTCACACGCCCTCAGGTGACTCTGATGCACGCGGAAGTCTGGGAACCACATCATAGGGTTGCTGTGAACAGACCCTGAAGGAGCATGTGTATCAGGCTCAGAACTGCGCCTGGCGCCTGGCCCTTGGCTGTCAGTCCCATCCTCCCACA